AAAGACCACAGCCTTTCGCATTTATTGTACCTCAATGTAAAGAAGACAAAAATCCTCACCACTGGACCAATAAATAACATCCATATAAATGGAGAGAAGATTGAAATTGTAAATGACTTCTTTTTACTTGGATCAACCATCAACACTCATTGAAGCAGCAGCCAAGAAACCAAATGGCGTGTTGCATTGGGCACATCTGCTGCACAAGACCTTAAATTGTTGAAGAGGAAAGATGTCAGTTTGAGTACTAAGGTGTGCTTGTGACATATGCATATGCATGTGACAGTTGGATACTGACTAAGGAAGACCATAGAAGAATTGATGCATTTGAGTTCTGGTGTTGAAGGAAAATATTGAAAGTACCATGGACTGCCAAAAGAACAAATAGATCTATGTTGGAAGAAGTATAGTCAAAGTGCTCTTTGGAAGCCAGAATGGCCAGACTTTATCTTTCATACTTTGGACATATTGTCAGGAGGGACCAGTCACTGGAGAATTATATAATGTTTGAAAAAGTGGAGGGTTGGAGAAGAAGAAGAAGATCCCAATGAGATGGATTGGCACAGTGGTAGCATCAATGGGTTCAAACTTGGCAATGGTTGTGAGGTCGGCCCAGGACCAGGTACTGTTTTGTTCTGTTGTGCATAGAATCACTCTGAGTCAGTACCGATTTGATGGCACTTGACAACAAAATGGGTAAAAAATATTGAATGATGCAGAAAGCATTATAAGGAGATGGAATGCAAAAAAGCACTGTACCAAAAATAATGGTCAGTGTTCAACCATGTTAAGAGGTAGCATATGATCAAGAGCCAGTGATACTAAAGGAGGAGGTCCAAAGGGCATTAAAGGCATTGACAAAGAACAAGGCACTGGGAATTGAGGACTACAAATTGAAATCTTTGAATAAACTGATGCTGCACTAGAGGTACTGACTCATCTATGCCAAGAAATTTGGAAGACAACCATCTGGCAATTGACTGGAAGAGATCCATATTTATGCCCATTCTAAAGAGAGGTGCCCCAACGGAATTCAGAAATCATTGGCAGTATCATTAATCTTGCAACTAAAATTTTGCTAAAGATAATACAAAAACCGCTTCAGCCATATACAGACAGAGAAGTTCCATAGGTTCAAGTCAGATTCAGAAGAGGTCTTGAAATAGGGAATATCATTGCTGACGTCAGATGGATCATGGGTGAAAGCAGAGAATATGAGAAAGGTGTTTGTGCTTTATTGACTATGCAAAGGCTTTTTATTGAGTGAGTCATGAGAAGCTATGGATAACATTATAGAAAATGAATATTCCAGAACACTTAATTGTTTTCATGAAGAACCTGTACATAGATCAAGAAGCAATTGTTCAAACTGAACAAGGAAACACCAAATGGTTTAAAATTTGAAAAAGTGTGATCTAGGCAAGTATTCCTTCACCACACCTGTTCAATCAGTATGCTGAGCAAATAACCTGAGAAAGTGGACTATGTGAAGCAACATGGCATCAGGATTTGAGGAAGACTCTTCAACAACCTGTGATAACCAGATGATACAACCTTGCTTGGTGAAAGACAAGAGGTCTTAAAATACTGACTGATGAAGATCAAAGACTGCAGCCTTCAGTATGGGTTGCATCTCCATGTAAAGAAGATAAAAATCCTCACCACTGGACCAATAAACAATATCCATATAATTGGAGAAAAGATTGAAGTTGTCAACGACTTCATTTTGCTTTACTCAACCATCAACATTCATGGAAACAGCAATCAAGAAATCAAATGATGAATGGAATTAGGCAGATCTGCTGTACAAGACCTTGCTTAACTGTTCAAGAGCAAACACGTCAGTTTGAGGACTGGACTGTGTTTCATTCTGTTGTGCATAGATAGGGTCACTATGAGTTGGCACCAACTTTATGGCACCTAACAACAACAACAACATACAGAGATTAAATTTTTTTTTATTTTATTTATTTTAATAAATTCATATTTGTTGTTGTTGTTATGTGCCGTGGAGTCGGAACCGACTCATAGCGACCCTGTACAGGGTTTCCGAGGGTGTAAATCTTTACGGGAGTAGAAAGCCTCATCTTTCTCCCGCGGAGCAGCTGGTAGTTTCGAACTGCTGACCTTGCGGTTCACAGCCCAAGTCGTAACAAATTCATATAGAGGCATCCAAAGCATCATAATACTGTAAATCATTTATGATTGAAGGATTTATTAAAATATTAACCAATACCTTCCTTAGTCTTGAGAAATGTCATCTCTGTGAAACATGTAACTCAAAATTTCAGGTAAATTGTTACTAGAAAACTAATGGCAACTATTTATTTGGTCATGCTTGAGAATAACTCTGCAAATGCTATCCTTTCTACTTTTCTAATTTATGTTCTAAAAAACATGTTATTTTAGAATTTAATTAAAATACATTATTCTGGTTTTATGCTATTTAATGCCTTAAGTTTTCCATTTAATGTCAATTCTATTGCACTAGATATTACTCAGAGAGTCTTAAAATCTCTTACTTTTTGCCAGATGTTGTACAATATTAAAAAATTGTATTCTGTTAAATAGTGGTGGTTATGTTTGCCAATTTTAACTGCATAACTTTCAATCTTTATTTTACCTCTTCTAGGAAACTTCACTGTCTTTTCTTACATTTCTTCAGAAGCATAAATCCTTTGTCCTAATGAAACTATACTAAATTCCCAATTTCTTGCTGCTAAAAATTCACAAGGCCCTGACTTAACAGTCATGTTATTGTTTGTCAAATTAACTGATTTAGAATGTTCTTGACCTAAATCATATAGGGTTTAGATATCTTTATTGTGTAAACACCATCATATATTAGGACAAAAATAACCCACTTTTTTATCTGTTAATTTTATGATGTAATCTTTTTCTACTTGTTCCATAGTATCCCACTGATTGTTTCATTTCCATCTCTTATATCCCAGAGCCTTATAGTTTAAGTAAAAAAAAAGCAAAACAAAACAAAAACCAGGAGACTATATGGTTTTCCTTTACTAAGTGCACTTAGCTATTTACACATTTATTAAGACTTTGTTTTATCCCAACAGAAATATTAGGAATTTAACAGAGATGCTAAAATAATGGATACCAAAGCAAATTCCCAAAGAATACGATCGTGCCATATCTAGAACATTTAACTATATTTTTTTTACATTCTTAGCTTTTTATATTTTATGTGTTGTAGGGTGAGCACTGTTTGCAAACCGCAAGAACAGTTGTTTAACACCAAAAGCTGCTCTGTGGAGGAAAGATGAGGCTTTCTGCTCCCACAAAGATTTACAGCTTTGGAAACCCAATAAAGGGTTGCTATGAGTTGGAATCAACTTGCTAGCACTTAACAAGAACGATGCCTACTGACTATTAATGTGCCTAATGAGATCATCAATAATATCTGAATCTGTAGAAAGTAATATTATCATCAACTTCATAAAACCTTATAAAGGGGTATTCATAAAAAAGAAGTCATTTCGGAGCAGGATTGAGCCAAAGCTGAACTTTGGTCTTGTTGATTTTGTCCAGATCCTGCTGTGCGCCTAGCATTATTCAAAGATAGTGAAAGCAAGCTGTCTGTTACAAAGGCACCAAAGAAGACACAACCCAGAAGCCACCATCACTTTGAAGGTATGGCTTCATCACAGATACATAGAAACCTAAAAAAATAAATGAGGATTGAAAATTTTATTTAGAACAAATTTGTAAAATTATCAGTAATTCCTGATAATTTTATGCATAAAATATACTTGAATAAATATTGAACTATGGCTTTTTGATCTAAAATAGCAATTGAATGTATCATATATAGTATAGATAGTTCAGTATTTGTGTCAGTGATTATTTGAACTTTAAATTAGATAATTATATGAAAGTCAACATATTTCTGCTTCATCAGTGTTATTAATTTTGCTGCCATTTTAAAGTGAAATATAATAGTGGTTTAATATAAATGGAGTGATTACATAATAAATGTATATTCTAATATATTTATTTTAATGCCAATATATAAAAATTACATTGAACACTGTAAAGTATACAGTGGAATTTATAATCATTTTCTATATTTAATGCTTATTGATCACTTTTGATGTGAAGAATTTACACATGAAGGTGTCAAAATATATTTCTTATTTCAACATTCAGAAGAATTATGGACTTATTTATAAAACTGAAATAGTTAATTGTAATAGAGCTGCAAGCATGACTTTAAACAAATTTGCTGTTTGATTTCTTATTAATTTTAAGATTTGTAGAGTTTTTTAAAAATACTTTTTGTTGTGCTAAATATATTTGAATGAGGTGAACAAGCTGTACAAATGTATACAACATTTTGTACATTTCTAGTAAATTTTAGAATGTATTCATATTCATACCACTATTAAAAATGGATACATTTAGATTTACATTTCTGCTCGGTAATACCTCAAACTAAAAAACAACTTGGTGGACACCAAATTTATGTCTTTTTTGGAGTCCTAGTGTGGCACGTGGGTTAATGTGCAGAACTACAAAGTCGGTTTGAACATCAAGCTCAACAGTTCAAGCTCACTAACTGCTCCTTGGAAACCCTATACAGAGTTGCAGGGTGTTGGAACTGATTCAGCGACACTTAACAATAACAACAACAAAAAGTTGACTGCTAACATATGGAATTCTGTGTAACACTGTAGTATAAACACTGGAATACTAACTACAAGTTTAGAGGTTCAAAACCCAGCCATTCTTTGAAAACCCTGTATAGGGTCTCTATGAGTCAGAACTGACTTCATAGCACTTAACAACTGCAACAACTAACAGACAAAGGATTTGGAATTTTCTTTAAAGTACTTAACAATAGATGTTATTTTTGTTGTGTGCCATCAGTTGGTTCTGACTCATAGTGACCCTGTATAGGATTTTTGAGAGCCCCTGGTGCACTTGAACCGCTGACCTGGTGGTTAATAGTCCAGTGCTTATTCTACAGTACCACACCAGGACTCATAGCACATAAATTTGCTATTCCTGAAGCCAGTGGCAAATTCATATTTATGGTCTTTGATAGGATGCTGGGGGCGGTGGGGAGGATCTGACCAAACAACCTTTTCATGAAGGATAAGACTTTTGCCTAGATTCTCCACTCTTTGGGACAATTTTATTTGATTTTTAAATAAAACTTTCTTAATTCTCTATCTGTAGTGTCATCACTAACAAGCTTTGTATTTTGTCCTCACTAACAAACTTCCTGTTTCTCCTTTTATAAAACAGAAAATGTACAGATAGCATATACTCTTATACTTCCTACCCACCCACTGCCATCAAGCCAATTTTGACTCAATGAAAATATGTAAGGTTTCCGAGGCTGTAAATCTTTACAGGAGCAGAAAGACTCATTTTTCTCCTGTGGAGCTACTAGTGGGTTTGAATGGTCAGTTTTGTAGTTAGCAATCCAGTGCTTATTTTACAGTGCTATCCATCTAACAGGGTTCCATCTTATACATCATTTTTACTGTTAAGTGTTGTCGAGTTGATTCCAACTCATAGTGACCCTGTACAGGGTTTGCAAGGAGCAGTTGGTGGGTTTGTACCACTGACTTGTGGTTCACAGTCCAGTGCTTATCCTACAGTGCCACACCACGAATCCTCTTAAACACCAGAAATGTTCAAATATCTTTAAATTCAATGTTTGAGTTTTGAAGACATTTGTTATTGTTGTTATTAAGTACTGTCGAGTCGGTTCTGACCCATAGCAACTTGTATAGCGTTTCCCAGGAGCAGATGGTAAGTTTAAACCTCCTACTTTGTGGTTCAAACCAACTTTGCAGTCCAGCAAGAAATGACCTTTAATTTCTATAATTGTTGTTAGGTGCCATCAAGTAAGTACCAAACCATAGTGACCCTATGCACAACAGAACGAAACACTGCCTGGTCCTGGGCCAAACTCACAATTGTTGCCACGCTTGAGACCAGTGATGCTGCCACTTGGCCAATCCGTCTCACTGGGGGTCTTCCTCTTTTTCTCTGACCCTCCACCTTACCAAACATGATATCCTTTTCCAGTGTCTGGTCCCTCCTGACAATATATCCAAAGTATGAGAGATGAAGTTTGGCCATCCTGGCCTTCAAGGAACAATCTGGCTGCACTTCTTCCAACAATCTGTTTGGTCTTTTGGCAGCCTGTGGCACTTTCAATATTCTCCTCCAACACCGTAACTCAAAAGCAGCAATTCTTCTATGGTCTTCCTTATTCACTGTCCAGCTTTCACATGCATATGAGGTTATTGAAAATACCATAGCTTGGGTCAGGCGCACCTTAGTCCTCAAGCTGACATCTTTGCTCTTCTACACTTTAAAATGGTCTTGTGCAGCAGATTTGCCTAATGTAATATGTCATTTGATTTCTTGACTGCTGCTTCCATGAATGTTGATAGTTGATCCAAGAAGAATGAAGTCCTTGACAACTCCAATCTTTTCTCCATTGATAAGAATGTTGTTTATTGGTCCAGCGGGGAGGACTTTTGTTTTCTTTACATTGAGATGCAATCCATACCGAAGGCTGTGCTCTCTGATCTTCATCAGTAAATATTTTAAGTCCTCTTCACTTTCAGCAAGCAAGGTTGTATCATCTATCATCTGCATACCACAGGTTGTTTGTTAATGAATCTTCCTCCAATCCTGAGCATTTCTAATCAAACCATCTTCATTTGTTGTATTTAAAACAATTTATGGTCACAAACATTTTCAACTCCTTCCTTCCTCTAACACCAGCTTAGAACAGAGCATCACATAAAGAGACCATTTTCTAGTAGGTCTTATATTTCCATAGCTGTATATAGTATATGGAGTCCTGGTGCTGTGGGTTAATGCGCTGGAGTGCAAAGTCTGTTTCAACTGCAAGGTCTGCTGTTCAAGCTCAGCAGCTACTCCTCAGAAACCCTGTACAGGGTTGCTATGGGTTCAACCGACTCAACAGCACTTAACAACAATAACAAATATAATATTTAGTACTTCATGCACTTAATGATGAAGATCAAAATCTACAGCTTTCATTGTGGATTACACACACACACAGAAAACCCAAATCCTCAGATCTGGACCTGAGGAAATATTGAAGTTGTCAAGAATTTCATTTTACTTGGATCCACAATCAATGCCACTGCAGTCAAGAATCAAATGATGTATTGCATTGGGCAAATCTGAAAAAGACTCTATCTTTAAAATGTTAAAAGATAGAGATGTGACTTTGAGGAAGAAAGTTCACTTGACACAAGTCATGGTATTTTCAGTTGTTTCATAATCATGTGAAAGCTGGGCTAACAAAAAAGGAAAACCGAAAAAAGGTTTTGATGCCTTTGAATTATAGTGTTGGTGAAGAATAATGAACACACCATGAACTACCAGAAAAGTTTTGAAAAGGAGTGGGTCATTGAAAAATAAAAGTATCCTCAACTAAATGCAGTCATTTCTAATGCATAGCAACCTGATGCACAACAGAACAAAACACTGCCTGATCCTACACCAGACTCACAATTGTTATATTGGATCTCACTGTTACTGCCTTTGTGTAAATCCACCTTTTGGGGCATGTTCCTCTTTTTCATTGACCCTCCACTTTGGTGGTGGTGGTTATGTGCCATGGAGTCGGTTCCTACTCGTAGTGACCTTGTACAGGGGTTCCGAGGCTATAAATCTTTACTGGAGCAGAAAGCCTCATCTTTCTCCCATGGAAGAGCTGGTAGTTTTGAACTGCTGACCTTGCAGTTCACAGCCCAATTTGTAACCACTATGCTACCAGAGCTCCTTGACTCTCCACTTTACCAAGCATTATGTGCTTCTTCAGGGACCGGTCTCTCTTGATAACATATCCCAAGTACAAAGACAAGTCTCATCATCCTCACTTCTAAGGAGCATTCTGGATGTACTTCTAACAAGACAGATTTGTTTGTTCTTCTGTCAATATTATTCACCAATACTATAATTCAAATGCATTGATTCTTCTTCAGTCTTCCTTATTGATTGTCCATTTTTCACACGCATATGTAGTTTTGGAGTTGCCATTGAGTTGGTTCTCATCACGACCATATGTACAACAGAGCAAAACACTGCCAGATCCTGCACCATCCTTACAGTTGTTACATTTGAGCCTGGACCTGTACCACCCTTACAATTATTGCTACATTTGAGTCTATTGTTGCCTTCACTGTATCAATTAATCTCATTGGGGGCCTTCCTGTTTTTCAACAGCTCTCCATTTTACTAAGTCGGATGCCCTTCTCCAGGGACGGGTCCCTTCTGATAACATGTCTGAAGTATGCAAGACAAAATCTTAACATTTTGGCTTCTAAGAAGAATTCTTACTGCATTTCTTCCAAGATAGATTTGTTTGTTATTCTGGAAGTTCATGGTACTTTTAATATTTTTCTCCAACACCGTAATTCAAATGCATAGATTCTCCTAAGGCCTTCTTTATTGTCCAACTTTCACATGCCTATGAGACAGTTGAAAATGCCATGGTTTGCCTTAAGCCCACCTTTGTCCTAAGCTTATTATCTTTATTCTTCAGCACTTAAAAGAGGTCCTTTTTTTTTTTTTTTTTTTTAGCAGATCTGTCTAATGCAATATGGTGTTTGAATTTTTATTACTTCCATGAG